AAATTAAGCTGTTATATTATTTCAAAAATACAGTCATTAATATTTTAGGTCCCTTGAATTTCTTTTTTTTAAGATATTTTTAATTTTTGCATAGAATAACTGGGCTTTAAGCTAGAGGTTCAGGGGGTGAGAGGATTTATCAGCAACAGAGTGGAAAGCAGAACAGGTAGATCTACTGAAATACTCTGTTAAGGGGAGCAGCAGGTGAGACAGAAGACTGTCTACTGAGACAGGTCTGCTGTGCCCTATGTGGGTTAGCTCCTTGGCTGGGGAACAAACTCAGGCCATCTTAGAGGTAGCACTGAGACTTAACCCCTAGGCCACCAGGGAGGCGCCTTTGAATTTCTTAATTGCCTTCTAGTTATCTCCACCATAGTACATGTCATGGATTCTCACATATCAAATCTGAACCGTAAGATGCCATCCATATTATATTATTTTTACAAACCAATACTATTAAGCATGTCATTAAAATAAATATTTCCCTCCAATACACTTAGCTCAGAATGATGGGTTAACATCTTGCGAAGAGGCTTTGTCTTTACTAAGTACACAGATCACCTGGATTCCCTCTGAGTCACACAAAATGAAAGGTAAAGTCATTCAGAATGAAGAGCACATGTCTACCAACTTGTAGTAATTTTGGTTAGAATTGCAAAGTGATAGAACAAACAACAAATATTTATTGACTGGCATGTGCCAGGTATAGCCATGACTTTTCATATTTCCTGGTACACATCTTTAAGTAACTCCTGTATTCTAAAAAAGTAGTCTAGCAACAAAAGATCATAAATCAAAAATAAAATCATGGGAGGGACTGACCTACCTTTTAACTGGTCTGTAAGACCTTCTTATGACAGAGTCCAAATTGGATTATATTTCTATATTTAAACCTAAAAGAAAGAGCTGATATGCAAAGCACCTTAATCTTTCCTACAGGAATACAGTGACCATCATAATGAATAGATATTGCCAGTCTAGAGTTGCTGTCAATATGAGGCATAATGCCCAGGTCAATTAAATCTGCCTGTTTTTTATTACTGAGACCAAATGTTTGGCCCAGGTTCCTGCAGAAAATAACTAATTCCATTACATGTGATTCACCTTTGTATAACCCTCCAAACTGAGGAAGATTCAGCTGGAAGTTTACATTTATCGTATAAATAATTCATTTAGCATACATTCATTAGGTCTCCATATGGTTGCTAGGAGACTTACAAAGCCTTAAAACATAAAAAATTCAACCTTGGTGTTTAAGAAATCTGCAGGCTATTGTTTAAAAAAAGTTTTTCTATTTTTTAAAAAAAGGCTCTTTTTTTTTTAATAAGAAGACAAAATAACTCATAATAACTGATGAGAAGTAATTCCCAAAAAGTAAGAGCTTGGACTCTGGAGCAAAGCAGAGGGAACTTTGAAGAGATAAGCTGGCATTCACCACCTGTGTATACTTTTATATAACCAATGAATATAAAAGATGATATCAATGGAATATAGATTGCAAATCAGAGTAAGTCATGATTTGATCTGTGTGTGCTTGTTTTAGTTATTATACAAACATTAAGTGACTTTTTAAAAATTATTTAATCATGATTATACCACGTCTGTCACTGCCATGGGCGATGCAAGAATCACTGTGCCCACCCTGTGAGAAATTCCAAAACAGACTTATTCAAAATCTTTGACTTGTCCCTTGCTTGTTTAGAGTTCCTAGAATTGAAATGTAATCACTGTTTTTATTATTTTTTAAAGATTTATTTATTTATGCACATAAGAGTTGAAATACAGGGCAAAATGTGGAAGGTGAGAGGCTTCACCAGAGACAGAGTAGGGAGCAGAACAGACAGATTGAGTGAAATACACACTGCTGAGGGGAGCGGAGGGCAGTCAGGAGAGGTCTGGTGCTCTCTATGGGCTATGCTGTGTGGGTCAGCTCCCTGGACATGGATCAAATGCATTCTGCAGTGGCTGGGGGTAGCTTCATAGTGCTGAGACTTAACCCCTTGCACCACCTGGGAGTCCCAGAGTCTGTTTTTAAATCCATAAAGTAGGAGTAGATAATACCTTTTGGGGGTTAAAGGATTATTCTTAAAGTGATTAGCACACTGCCTGACACGAACCAATTACTCCAGGATGGGAAGCGGCCTTGTCTTCATTTTTCATGATCAGATTCAGAGAGAAACTAATGTCCCATCAAGCCTTATGCCCTGGGAGGTTATGCATCCTATGTGGGTAATTCCACAGTGTCTCATAGATTCTCTATAAGTTTTGCTGCAAATGATAACCAGCAAGATGTCAAATTGGGATTTGAGCTGAGATCTTTGGATTCCAAAGAAGAACATGCATGTTTCCCTTTCACTCTATCTTCTTCTTCTTCTTCTTCTTCTTCTTCTTCTTCTTCTTCTTCTTCTTCTTCTTCTTCTTCTTCTTCT